CTCTCCTCCCTGTCCTCAGGCGCGTGCTGTCCCCTGCCCTGGGTTACGGTCCTCTGGAATTGCATGGCCCCAAACAAGTTCAACCTACTAGCCTTAGGAAAACACAAATGCTGCACAAAGTGATTCCACCTGCCAGGATCCTCAAATGAGCGAAAGAGATCAACCTTTGCTTTGGGAAACATCTTTTCAGACCCTGGGAGACCAGAGGAAGGAACTCGGAGGACTTCAGCTGTGATGCACCTTCAGCGAGCTGAACCCGCCCTTCATCCGGGACACCTGCCAATCTCTCAGTGGTCACTTTGGACACGCCCCTTTGACTTCTAGGCTTGGGTGCCCTGGACCTCTGTGCAGTCCCTGGGCTGTGTATTTGCCACGCCACACCCCCTGGCCTCCTCCTCCAATCCCGCCCCTTCCCCACCGCCTCCCCGGCTTTGCATATGCCACTGACTCCCTCTCCTACCACAAAACTCCAATTCATCTTTCCTAGCTGTCTGCTTCCTGAAGGACTCACATGATCAATTCCTGGAGGGAGGTGCCCCATACAGACTGGGCAAGCAATCAATAGGAGTGGAATGAATGGCAAGTTTGTCTTGTCTCCCCATCCTGTGTTGCCCTGCTGTCTTCCCAGCTGGGCCAGGAAGCGTGTTCTGGGCAGCTCAGGCCTGCCTGGCTCGGTGTGGATCTGGCCTGGTGATAGTCCCCATGGAAGCACGTTCTTGGGTCTGGAGCCTCCCTGGCTTCTCTGTAATGTGTGTGTGTGGGGGGGAGCACACTCACTGGCACTTTCTGGAGGCCCTTCCCCTCTGCACGGAGTTCGGTTCTCACGATGGAACTGAGATCTCTGAGTTTGTGGAGGAAGAGCTCCCAGGTCTCTCCATGGGCCCCTCAGGCTGAGCTGAGCTTTACCAAGGTAGCACCTGTGGGCGGGGCCTGCCTTGGACTCCTCCTTCCCAGCTCACCAAGCACCTTTCTCCAGACTCCCTTTGGGGACTCTTTCTCACTAAGGGGGTTAATGGTTAAGACTCTTAGAAAAACAGGAATTAGAGTGTTGTCCCAATACACCAAGGTTGCAGGTTCGATCCCTGGTCAGGGCACCTGAAAGACTCAACCAATGAATGCATAAAGAAGCGGAACAACAAATCGATATTTCTCTCTTTCTCTTTCCCTTCTTCTATCTCTCCCTCCCTCTCTCCCTTCCTCTCTCAAATCAATCAATAAATTAAAGATATAGCTGCAGCTGGAAAGGGGGATGCAAATGACCTCTGGCCTCTCTTTGCCAAAACAACAAAGCAGGAGCGTGTAAACAGCAGACTCTGCTCACAGAATTGCTTTGTCCTTTCTCCCTAACAGCAGACTCCACTGCTTCTGTTTCTGGGGTCAGGTGCCACTATTTTATTGGTTGATTGATTGATTGATCTCACCCTTTAAGGTCACTGCTAATCCAACCTTGCCGTTCCGTCTTGTGATTGGTCCAGACTGCTGGCTGTTTGTTGTCCTTTGGGCCATGCTCAAAATGGGACACACCCCTGTGCCTCCTCTGTGCACCGGACCTCCCTGGCCTCCCAAAGAAAATGATTGCAAAAATGGTTATTTGTTTGAAGTGAAGATAAAAAACACCCTGCCACTCCCAGGAGTGGAGGCAAACAACTAGGCCTTTGGTTAACAATCAATCAATAGTAATCAGTAGTTGGCTATTGACTGGCTCTCTTGAATTTCCTGCCTTTCCCCTTTTCAGGAGGTTAAGCTCGTGGACCTGCTCCAAGGTGAGCAAAGCCAGAATTCCCCCATCGGAAGGAGAACATAATGTGTGGGAGGCTGAAAGCAATGCAAACCCACTCGAGTATTCTTTGCTCCGTCTCACATTGAAGTGAGGTGGTTGTGTGTGCATGTGCTTTTTAAAGGAAGCCAGAAATCCAATGGAGCGGGTGGAATTGCAACTTAATCTATAGATTTTTAAAAATGTATGAAACTGTTAAACTGGGACAAGGCAGAGCATCTGATAGCTTCCAAACTCACTGAATAGACATGTCCTTTGGCTCCTGGCCCTGATGGGAGCGTCTGAGGACGCTCCCTGCTTTCCTGCCTCCGACCCTCGAGGCACCAGCAGGACATCTTCCGGCCTGAAGCAGTGAGGAATGTTTGTCTCAGGAGAGGGATGCCCTGGCAGATCAGTTCTTCTTGCTTTAAGTGGGTTTGCAGATGGAATTGGGAGCTTGGGAACTTGGGGTACACCTTTGGCACTGCCACTAACCAGGTGACTCGGCAAGTCCCTTGCTTCCCCTTTTGGGGCTGCTCATTTGGAAAATGAGGACAGTCCTATAGGATCCTATAGTGGGACAAAAATGGCCCCCAAAGATGTCCACGCTCTGACCCTGGAACCTGTGATTATGGTACGTCACCGAGTCCACTAGACTTTGGGGAGGTCATCCTGGATTATTCCTGGGCCCAATGTAATCCTAAGGGTCCTTGATGGATGCAAGGGCGAGGCAGGAATACTTCTGAGTCAGAGGGAGCTTTGACTACGGGATGCTGCTGTTAGGCGAGTGAGAAGGACTCCACCTGTCACTGTGGCTTTGAACAAAGAGGAAGAGGCTATGAGCCAAGGAATGTGGGCGGCCTCTGGCACCGGAAAAGGTGAGGAAGGGGTTTCTCCCCTGAAGCTTCTAGAAGGAACCCAGCCCTTCTAAGACCAGAGTCAGATTTCTGACTTCTAGAAACTGTTAGATAATGTCCGGCTGGTGTGGCTCAGTGGTTGAGCATTGACCAGGAGGTCATGGTTTGATTCCCAGTCAGGGCACATGCTGAGCTGCAGGCTTGTTCCCCAGTGTGGGGCTTGCCAGAGGCAGCTGAACAATGAAGCTCTCTAATCACTGATGCTTCTATCATTCTCTCCCTCTCCCTTCTTTTCTGAAATCAATAAGAATATATTTAAAAGAATACATATGTGTTGTTTTAAGCTGCTAGATTGGTCATAATTTGTTATGGAGGCAACAGAAAATGAAAACAAGGCTCCTTCCTGCAACGTGACACTGTTTTTAAGAATCCAAACCCAGCTTTGCCAGCAGCCCTGGGCAGCCTCAGCGGAGAGATATCCCAGGAACGTTCGGTCCCCATTGCCTCCTGGCTCTGGTGTTGCCAGCTCCCAGTCCCGTCTGTGCTCAAGTGTGGCTCGCCTGACGTGGCCCCCCTGGGCAGCAGAGGGGAGCTGCTGTAGCACCTGGTGGGGCCTCTGGTGTCATCAGTGAAGACCCAGGTCAGGTATTATCTTCATCCTCAGACTGAAGGAACTGAGCCCAGAGAGGGGTAGGGTCTCATCCATGGTCAGGTAGCTCCTGAGGGAAGAAGACTGGCTCTGAAGTCCTGACACGGGGAGTTTTGAATAGGTCACATTCGGGATACATTTCCATTGTGTTAGTGGGTTGGGAAGGAGAGAAAAAAGGGGGGGGGGGAGAGAGAGAGAGAGAGAGAGAGAGAGAGCACGCGCTTGGGTGGCAGAGCAGGGATTTGAGCCTGGTTCTTCCTGGGCATTGGGGGAGACTTGGACTTGGGAGTGGATGGGGGAAGGGACTGTCCCTATGAAATTAGCATGTGGCTTGAGCACAAGGATTCTGCCTGAACAGCAAGCTCTCATTGCCACCCAGGGCTGGAAAGGGCAGCCCCCTGCAGCCAACAGGCCCCTCCCTGCCTCCTTTCCCATCTGGACAGCCTCTGAGGATTTGGGAGGAGGGAGGCCGAATGCAAATGTGACCCCCACAGGAACAAGCAGGTCTTGTGGTAGGTGAAGAGCTGAGGTGCAGAGAGGGCCCCGGAGCGCTGGTGTGTGGGAAGGAGGCCATGCCGGGCCTGTGTGCAGCCCAAGTTCACTGACGGGTCAGGAGTCAGGACGGAAGGTAGAGAGCAGATGGCGTGAAGGCCTCCTCTGTGGTTTTTGTGTCTGGGCAGGTTCTTGTGGGTCAGGGCATGGCATTCAGACCCTGGGTCGCGAAGTCATGTACAAGGTCACCATCAGTAGTTGTTAAAGGTTAGAGTAGAACAGGTTTTGTAAAGATAAGTGTCGCTGCACAAAACTTGACAGAACCTGTGGTCTTTGGCCTGGGAGGTCTGGCCCTTTCCTGGGTGCTCGGGGAGAGAGACCGCAGGGTGGGAAGAGGCAGACACCGGGGAGCCACTTCCACAAGACCAGCTTTTAATATGACCGTGACGGGAAGCACGAATAAATAAACGCCAGAGAAAATGGGAAAACCAAACCAAACTCCGAACAGCAAACCCAAAGGTCAGAAAACAAAACCAAACGGACCTCCGACAGACAGTAAACCCCCCCAAAGACAGAACCGGACTGTACAAGCCATGTCACAGGGAGGGCAGAACGCGTGGGGGCCACGGACATGGGCCGGAGTCACCAGGCCACAGGCCTCTGTCACAGGCGCTGGGGTGGGAGGGGCTCGGCCCGGTTCCCCGAGGGTAAGGGGGTCGGACGGGGGCGGGGGGGGAGGACGGGGAAGGGGACTGTGGGCAGGTTAAGGACCTTTCACGAACCACACAAGGACCGGACGTAGCCGACAGTTCTGCGGTTTCCCTCGGTTGTGCAGCTGCGATTCCAGCTGTGGCCTCGCGGTGGCTGGGGGCTGGAACCCGTTCCCACCACGTGGGAACCGCACGGAGGAGCGTCTCGTACACACAGACACACGTGGAGGCGGCGCCGTGAGAAGTCTGAGCATGCAGGTGCTTTCTACATCTGGCAGTGAGATGTGATGGCAGGTTGGTCCTTGGACTGTTCCAGAATGTGTCTCATGTCTCCTAAGAGGGACGCACGGCGGGGACCTAGGACGGGTCGCGTCCCACGTGGCCGCAGCGAGGTTTTGGCAGAGAGTTTGCTATGTGTGCATAGGGGGCTCTTGCTGCTTCCGTCATCAGGGGCCGTCCCGCCTGAGCCTGCTGTCCCCTGTCCCGGGTCTTGGGCCTCGGGGTCTGCTTGGGGCTGCCCGGCGCTCCGGGGGCTGTCAGCAGGCGATCTCCTCCAAGGTCCCCAGGGCCGTCTGCAGGGGCACAGTCACAGTGTGGCTGATGGTTTCGGAGTGGTTTGGCATCGTCTCACAGGTGCTCTGGAGGGAGGGGAAGGTGGTGCTTATTTATTAATTATTTATTAAAAAATGTTTTTTTTTAATTGATTTCAGAGAGGGAGGGAGAAGGAGAAAGAGATAGAAACATCAATAATGAGAGAGAATCATTGACTGGCTGCCTCCTGCACGACTCACACTGGGATCAAGCCCACACCTGGGGCATATGTCCTGACTGGGAATCGAACCATGACCTCCGGAGCCATGACAGCTGGGCAAAGGTGATGTTTATATTAAAAATTTCATCCGGTGCCATTGGCAGCCTTGGGGACCATGCTCCTCACTTGTGGGCTCCCCCAGGGCACTGCTGCTCCTGCCCCAGGCACCCCATGCACCCCAGGCATGAGGCTGAAGGGGCCTCCCTGCCTTTGGAATCCTCGCCACTGCCCACCTGGTGCCCCCAGCGCAGGGAAAGGACTCCCTGGTGATGGGGTGTGGCCGTTCCTCCTGGAGTTCCTCTGCTGTGCCACCTGAAGCTACATCTGAGTGACGTATGGATTTGGGCTGGAGAGCCCATCCTTGGGGGCCTCCTTTGGGGCCTCGCTGGGGTGAGGAGGTGCAGCCTGGGGCTAGGCCCGGGGCAGGGGGTGATGGATCGCTGAAGCAGAGCTGTAAGGGCAGAGGCTCGAAGGCCAGAACCAGAGCTGGTCACAGCGCCCAAAGGACCTTCAGGGTTAGGCAGCACATGGGGAACAGTCATCCTGGGTCCCTGAGCAGGATGTAGCCGAGAGGCCTGGATCTTCCAGGAGATCCCCAGAAAATCCCGAACTGCTTCGGGTGGGAGGCCAGGAGGGCTGGGAGCAGAGATCAGCCAGGAGGCCATCTAAGAATTTGGAGAGACTCGCTGAGGACCATATTCCAGGAGGGGGAAGGATAGAGGGGGAACCTATGACGGAGATGTTTTGAAGGCAGGAAGGAAGTGCGGGAACCTGAACTTGCTGAGCACTTACTAAAAAATAGGCATGCTGCCTGGCCAGTGTGACTCAGTGGTTGATCATCGACCTATGAACCTGGAGGTCAAGGTTTGATTCCCGGTCAAGGCACATGCCTGGGTTGTGGCAGCTGGATCCCCAGTAGGGGGTGTACAGGAGGCAGCAGATCAATAGTCCTCTCTCATCATTGATGTTCCTCTCTCTCTCTCTCTCCCTCTACCCTTCCTCCCTAAAATCAATAAAAGTATATTTAAAAAACACCCACTAGGCATGCTTCTTATTTCATAGGCTGGCCTCCTTCTTCTGAATGACACCCCTCTACACCTCCCTAACCCTCTTCCATCCCCGGTCCCTGGGAAGAGGCAGATGCTCAGGGAGACAGGTACTTGTCCCCAGGCACCCAGCTCAGAAGCAGGACCTGGGACCCAGCCAGGCCGGCTCCATCTGGAGCCTGGGTCCCTTCCGCTCTGCCCCTCCTGCTCTGGCCCCATAGCTGGCTTCGCCTCGCCTGTATAGACCAGAGGAGCACAACGACCTCCGACCCACACTGCTCTCACCACGTTCTCATCATGGCTCCCTTCGTCCTCTTCTTTGCCCAGCAGGTCTAATAGCTTCTCTTTGATCAGCTGCAAGAGAGGCCGAAAGCGGGTGGTCAGGCTGCGGGGAGGGGCAAAGGCAGAGAGGCCTCCCTGTCCTGGGTTCCTCAGGGGGACCACAGCGGCAGCAGCTGCCTGGGCTGTGGCCGGACAAACCGTGGCAGGACCTGCCGGGCGAGCCTCCGCCCCATCTCTGGGCTGCCAAGCGATTCTGGTGCAGGGGCTAGCGCCTGGTAGAGGTCACAGGAGGGCCCTGTCGCAGTGTGGACCGCCTTCTCCTGTGGACGGACAGTGTGGGGCAGCGACACGTGCTGATGTGGCTGGCTCCCCCTCTGCCCTCAGGAGCAGCCTGGGCTCCTTTCCGAGCCTGGGTCTGGGGATAAGATTGCTAATTACTTTCTAGGCCCGTCAGCCCCACAGTTCATAAGATCAGGGCACACTCGAGTCCATGACATTTTATTCTTAGCAGCGGAGGGTAGTTATCAAATGTTCTCCAGTGTGATTCAATTTCCCTAACTTTGTACAGCTTCTCATAAAATTAAGAACAAACAGGAATAAAATCTGGCCACGGGGTGTGGGATTGGCATGTGGAACAAGGTTTCCCAGCTGAAAGGCAGGGCAGGACGCTGGGAACCCTGTCCACAGGGCCCTCCTGCCCCACAGTGAGAACCTTCAGCCACGGCCAGCCCTCTCTGGGGGCAGACCTGCTCACACACTCTGTTGTTGGGTCCAGACCCGGTGCCCCTGGGGCCTGAGGGCCTGGGAGTGCCCACGGGGATCTGGAGCCCTGCAGCCAGCTGGGTCTGGGGAAATGGGTGGGAAGGCTGACGAACACCAGGAGCTCCCAATCCTGAAGCCGCTGTCCGCTGTTTGGGAAGCTCTCAGACACCCTTCTCTGCTGCCCCTGAGGGAGACTTCTCCATGGACCATCAGCAGCCAGAGGCAGTGGGTGTGGCCATGCTCATCTCAGGACTGAGGAGGCTGATGGGAAATGCCCCTTACTGCAGTCTCCCTGAACCATGAAGGTACCACTCAGGTGACCAGCCACCCAGAGGGCAGGTGTGTGTGTGTGTGTGTGTGTGTGTGTGTGTGTGTGTGTGTGTACAAATGGTGTCTGTGCACCTGTGTATATGTGTGAGTGTGGTATAAGTGTGTGTGTCTGAGTGTGGTGTATGTGTGTGTGCATTTGTGAGTAATGTGTAAGTGTGGTATAAGTGTGTGTGTGAGTGGTGTGTGTGCATTTGTGAGTAATGTGTGTGTGTATGTGGTGTGTGTATGCATGTTCAGGCTAGCCTCAGCCCGGTCTCATCTCCCTTCTCCCCCTCCCTTCTTGTGTAGACAGCCCACTGTTTTTTCTCTACCGGACTGTGGCTTCCCCTCCCTCACTTTCATCCCTCCCTGATACCTAGGGCTTGGTGACAGACAATAACCATGGAGAGGAAGAGGGTGCAGGCTCTGGTGGAGATGTAGTGCTTTGGCTCTGGGCATCAGGGCAGGATGAGGGCACCCGCATGTGGTCATTTCCCCAAGAGGGATCCCAAATCTTACCTCATAAATGTAATCAAAGAGCTCTAGTATTGTGAGGATACTAGCACCAATGAACAACCCCATCTGGCCACCAATGTCACCTGGAGAGAGACAGAACACACCGGAGGTTTGGTTTCACTCACAGCGCTTCCAGGAAGGGCGAACAGACTTGGAACTCGGAACCCAGACCTTCTGAGGGGAGCCGGGGCTTGTCACGGGAAGTCAGGCCTTTGACAAGTCCCACCCTCGATGCAGAGCTCTGAGAGCTGATGGCGTGCAGCATCTAGTGAGGATGCAAACTAACCTGAATGCTTATTGGAGGTTCCAGAATAGACCTCACAGGCTGACAGGCTTGCCAATTACATTAGAACTGCACTGATTGGGCCTTGCTTTGACTCTGGGCTGAGAATAGAGATAAGACACGTGTGGTCTTTGCCCTGGGCAAGGGCATAGTCTAGCCTGAGACACAAGCATCAGGTGCCCTGAGTGGGGGTCTCCTCGCTCATGCCTTTAATCATGACATGATTGTCAGGGTCACCTTGGGGCTCCTCTCACTCTTGGGCTGAGGCCCTTGGAAACATCTTCCATCTTCCTTCCCCAAAGGCAAATGTTCAATTTGGTCTCTTTCTAGAGCAGAGGTTCTTACCCTGGGGTGGATGGACCCCTTGACCAAAGTTATTCTGGACTGGTCTTCAGCCCCCCTGAATCAAACTCCTGAGAGTCATGTAGTCAGTGTATATGCTTGGACCTACCCCAGGCCACATATCAGATCTGGGGCTTGGGTCTGGAGGTCAGGATTTATACGTTCCCCAGGGGGTCCTCTGGCCCACCAGAGTTTGAAAACCCCTCTCCCATGGGCGCTTCAGATGGTAGGAGATCCTCCAAAATGGAATGAACACAATAAGTGTGGAGACCTGGCTTTTGTAGACGGGGAGTTTATATTTGAGAGGCTATCAGCCCATTCTCCAAAGGTTGTGATCCCCCAGAAGCCCGCGGGGCTTTGCCCCATTGCTCTCTGGGGCTCTGAGCTCAGAATGGCCACCAGCTTGCTGTGAGGCTTTGATAAGCCCTGACCCTCTCAGGAGCTTTGCCTTCAAAGCACCCTTTGTTGTGGAGGCCATTGGGAGGGGACTCGGAGATGAGCTGGGAAGTCCTTCCCAGGTGGAATCTCTAAGACTGGGCTGGGGAGATGGTGGGAATGAGGGTGCTGTTGGGGTGAGCACACAGTCCTGGACACTCCAGGATGACCTCTTGGTCTGAGAACTTCCTGATGGGTGCATCTGCCCACTCCTACCCTGGCCATGGCTGGGAGGAGTCCGACAGCCACATCCTGAACCAGTTGAGATTATGAGGAGGGGGGGAGGGGGTCTTTCTGGTGGGACTTGGTGCTAAGCTCAGAAGGCTCCCTGCATGCCTCTCCTCCCTCATGCTCACTCTCATGCCCTCAATGGAGGTGTATAAGGCAGTGTGCACTTATGTGTGTGCACATCAGGTGTGTGTGTTTGTATGTGCATGAAGTGTGACTGAGTGTGGGGGTATGTGCCAGGGTCCCATGAGCGTGCAGCATCTGGATAGAAATAGGCAGTACATCTGGCTGTTGATGGATTTATGTAGGTGGCAATCTAGGTCAAAGGTAGGTACACGGAGAGTGTCTAAGCATGTGAGTGTCTTTGTGGAGGTGGACCGTGTGTCTGAGTGTGAGCACGAGTGAGCATGTGCAGATGTGCATGTGTTTGTGTTCATGGGCAGTTGTAGGCAAGAGTGTGAGTGCAGGCATGCAGTGCGTGTGCACGTGGATCTGTGCAGGTGCACGCCTCTGTGTGTGGCTCTCCATGGAGTGTGTGTGGCCATGGGGTGCAGTGGGCACTGAGGTGAGGGCGGGGCCGTGCGGCAGTGAGAGGGGGGCCTGACAGCCTGTGGCTGACGGTTCCCAGTGGCACATGCTCTCTTCACGAGGCTGCAGATGGGCCCATGCTTTTCTCAGCGGCTATTCTGGGAGGGAACACGATGCTAGGAACGCTCATTCTCATCTCTGATGCAGAGACGAGCTGTCCCTCCTGACAGATCCGAGCTCAGGCCCTCCCCGCTGTGTGTGTGTGTGTGTGTGTGTGTGTGTGTGTGTGTGTGAGAGAGAGAGAGAGAGAGAGAGAGAGAGAGAGAGAGAGAGAGAGAGAGAGAGAGACTGTGAGCTTATGTGGGGGCAGGGGAGGAGCCTACATCTCAGGCCCAGGGTACAATTCTCTAGGCTCAGCCCCTTTGGCCATAGGGGCCTGAGAGGCGCGAGTGACAGCCACCTTAACGAAGCTGGGACCCAGCCTCCAGGGAGAGGCGCAGAAAGGCCAATGGCGCCTGGCAACACCAGTCGGGTCCTGGTGCCCGCATGGAGACTGTCCAGGGACCAAAATGCTATTAATGGACCTTCTGTGGGCTGGGGCTTTCCCACATTTAACCAACACAGCCCACACATAGAGTGGGATTCATTAGACCCATTTTACAGATGAGGAACCTGAGGCCAGTGAGGAGAAGCCACTGGCCCACATCGTCACAGCTGGTCTTTGCTTTATACCCTCAGGTAGAAGGTGTCTCTCCCTCTCCTTGCTCCCCTCACGCGGCTCAGCTCCCAGAGGCAACAACAGCTACTCTTCCCCACAGATCCCTTCCTGAGGGTGAGGGGGAGCTGGCAGGAGGCCCCCAGGTCTTCTGTCTGCCTCAGGGGTCTTGTGCATGTTGTGCTGGGCTGGGCAGGTTGAAACGAACTCCCTGAATCCATTATGAGCCTGCGGGGAGTGGCAGTCAGGTCTGTAGATACCTGGAGACAAGTGGCCCTTCTTCTGTGTTTGACAAAGGACCCAGCGCAGGGGGCCACCTGGCCTTCCCAATGCAGCAACGCTGCTTTTTAGGGGGGCTCCACTGGGACCCTCATTGTGTCCATCGCCTGGGGACCCTCCATGCTGAGTCTTCCTAGCATCTGACAGTTCTTTCTTTCCTGCCCTACCTCGAGACTCTGACAGCAACCTGGGGGCAGAGAACCATGCAATCCAAGAGGGCAGCTCTCAAAAGGCCCTGAGAGATCCTTAGCCCACCCCCCTCCCTGTGTTGATGGAGAAACTGAGGCAGAGATTGCAGCATGAACTGGCCTAGAACCTCCACCACTCTGGAGGTCTTTGTGTTCTGGGACAAGAGCCATACAAGGATGCAGGGAACAATGAGCGGGCACAGAGCTAGACTTGTCAGGAGGCACACAGATCGACCTGCCCGCCTGCTGCCCACCTGTCACCCCCTCCCTCCCTCTCACCTTCTATAAGATGTGGAAATTTTTGCAACAGACGCTTCGACTTACCAAGTAAGGCAGCAACTTCATACGCCTTCTTTTGTTCAATTGTCTCGTAATTGAGAGCTTCAAAAAATATATCCAGGACAAGGATGTTCTCTCTGCAGAGGGAATGTTCAGTACATACATGGGTGGATCTGTCAGGATCCACAGTGATCACCTAACAGCTTTCCCCTGGACAGATGGAGAAACTGAGGCTCGGGAAGTGCCACAACCGGCCCAACGCTCGAGCTGGTTAGCGGCAGAGCTGGGCCTTGAAACCAGGAGCCCTAACTCCACCCAGTGCTTGTCACAGGCCTGGAGGCTGAAGCTGGAGGCACCTATCAGCAGTCCCCCTTAGCCCTGAGTTCTCTTCCCCACTCTGCATGCTGCCTCACCTCCCGGTTCTCCAGCCCCCAAGTGGTCTGCCCGGGTCCTCCCCTGCAGGTGAGCTCAAGACTCTTTTGACAAGGCTTGCCTGCCCAGCTGACCTCCCCTCCCACTCCTGAGAGTCCCCGAGCTCCTACCGGGATTTACAACAAGCTTCTAGTCCGAGGTCCCGCGCTGGCATTACCAAGTCAGCTGCCAGAGCCGGAGAGGCTTTTTAGGGCATAAACATACATGTGTGGGCGGGGCGGCTCTGGCAGGAGCACCTTGGCTCCCTCTGCTCCCTCAGGCAGATGTGTTAATGAGACACATCTTGGCAGGAGGCCCCGCTGCTGCCTGCAGAATGTCTGCTCAGCAGCAGGGCCTGGCACCTCCTACGACTCCCCATCTCCTTCAGTGCCTCAATGCCCGTCCCCAACCCACTGAATAGAAGCAGCCACTCTGTAGACATCACCCAGGAGGGGCTCTGGCGATGGTGTTGGCAGGAGGCAGTGGCTGGGGAGAGGAGCAAGCCCCCTCTCTCCACGCAGGGCTCTCCGAGGTTCCAAAGCAGCACCAACTCTTGCCTGGTTTATGGTGACGACCTCCTAACTGGCTCCCTTTGCCCACCTGGCTTCCCACTCATCCTCTAAGCGGCTTCCTGAAGGGTCTCTCTAAAACTGCTAAACAAGTTCAAATTAAATAAAATTACAGTTCCGTTTCCGAGTCACTCAAGCTATGTTTAATATATATATATATTAAAAAATTTTTTTTTTTGTATTGATTTCAGAGAGGAAGGGAGTGAGAGAGAGAAACATCAATGATGACAGAGAATCATTGATTGGCTGCCTCCTGCACGCCCCCTACTGGGGATCAGGCCTGCAATATGGGCATGTGCCCTTGATTGGAATTGAACCTGAGACCCTTCAGTCCCCAGGCTGATGCTTTATCCACTAAGCCAAAGTGGCTAGGGCTCAAGCTATGTTTATTTTTTTGAAAATTTAAAAAATATATATTTTATTTTTTTTTACAGAGAGAAAGGGAGAGGGATAGAGAGTTAGAAACATCGATGAGAGAGAAACATCGATCAGCTGCCTCTTGCACGCCTCCTACTGGGGATGTGCCCGCAACCAGGTTACATGCCCTTCACCAGAATCAAACTCGGGACCCTTCAGTCCCCAGGCTGACGCTCTATCCACTGGGCCAAAGTGGCTAGGGCTCAAGCTATGTTTAAAATGCTCAACGCCAGCGGACTGAGGCGATGACATTGAAATGAACACCTGCACCATGAGGGAGCAGTCAGGTGAAGAGTGAGAAGGAAAAGCATTCTGGGAAGAGGGAACAGGATGTGCAAAGCCTGCCTGGAATACTCCTATGCATCATTAAAAAAATCTCTTGACGCGTTCCTTGGCAGCATCCCCACGCGAGGTGCAGGCAGCCACCCTCCTGTATCCCGGGGGCTGGGATCAGCCTTTGTCGCATTCAGTTGCCTGCTTGTCGCCCTGCAGGACTATAAGCGCCTTAAGGGCAGGGACTGCGTTTTGATCATCTTTGTCTTCCTAGTCTGAGTGCTGAGCACAGAGCTTGCCACACAGCAGGTGCTCAATGCATGTCTGCCTAATGAAACGAACTGCTCCCCTTTGCCCTCTTCCTTGATGGCCCCGAATTTCCTCCTGATCCATACCACCCGCCTCCTCCCCAGTGCACATGCCCCCCGGGCTTACGAGATATATTTTTCTGATTTGTTAAACTTCTTCTCGAGGTACTTGGCGGACGTCTTGCTGGGGATCTTCACCATGGAGAGCTCCTTGTTGTAGCGGGTCAGGTTGCAGGGTGTCCTGCAGAGACAGTAACTGCTGTCCTTTTCCGCCAGCAGACCTGCAGGGGAGAGGGGGGAGGAGCTTAGTCCGCTGTGGGGTCTGCAGCCTCTGGGCCAGGGCAGCAGGTCCAGCAGGAGAGAAAGGAGCTGGGAAGAGGTGACCTCCCTGGTGAGGGAAGGGTGGGGGGCTGCAGAGAGGAGGGGAGCTGGGCTGCTGGTCTAGGTTGAGGGTGCTCGCACTTATGAAAAAGTGCCCCCTCTTTCTGGGCTGCTCTTGGTCCTGTGTTCCTTCTGTTTCTCTCACTGTCATGTGGCCTTTTACAGACTGTTGAAAGGGCACCACTTTGGGAGAATAGGCTCCGAGGGAGTCCTGGCCCCTTCACCTTCCTGGGCCATCGTCTTTGCTCCTAGCCTCAGTGTTCTCATCCACAAAGTGGGCCGCCTGGCCAAGGCACATGTGGGAGACCATTGCATCTGAAGCCCGGGCTCTGCTGATTCCCTTTTTTCTCTGTTTAAGACCCGGTGGTTAAAGACATTTCCCTCCCTCTTTCCTCTAACCATCTCAGTGTTTCTGGGTTTTGTTGATTCCTCATTCCAAGGAGAGACGGAGTCTGTGCACACATCGGAAGCCACTGTTTGTCCTCTCCCCAGCCCCCCTCTCTCCCCTCCAATCATGGAAGCTGTGGCAGTGTGAGTCAAGAGCTGCCCCCACTTAACTCCAGTGAGTGCAGCTGCCAAGGAACTCAAGTCCATGCACGTGTAAGGTAAGTCCATGCCTTATCTCTTCCTTCTGCTCCACCTACTTGGGCTCAACTGCTTTGAAATAACCTTGGTGGCCTAGCTGTGTGAGCTACCATCATGTGTGTGTGGTGTGTGTGTGTGTGTGTGTGTGTGTGTGTGTGTGTATGTACTATCACACTCCTTCTGTGCCCCCCACACCTGTCATGCATCCTCTCTCGTCTCTGCCCCTCTCTGCATTCCTCAGTACCCCCACCCTCTGACATTCACTGCTCTCTGTCCACCCCTCTGCCTCCTTTCTCTCTTCTGTGGCCCTCCCAGCCCTCATCCACTTGCATCAATTCCCTCGCACCCTGCTCTCCACCTCTCTCTCCTGCAGTCCTTCCATTCTGTCCAGCCTCTCTCCTCACCCTTCCCCATGCCCCCTCCCACCCAATCTCTCTCCTACACCCAGGAGATCCCCATCTCAGCCCTCCCCAGCATTCCACGTGCCCCCAGTACTGACCCAGCGCAGGCTCTGCACACTCCTTGTGCTGCTCGGGGGTACAGAAAGGCGCGTCCCCTGCAAAGAAGAAACACAGGGAGGTACAAAGGCCGCAACACCTCCCCTCCCGGGGCTGGGCAGGCAGCACACCCCTTACAGGCAGGGGCAGCCCTTGGCAGTCCAACAGAGCCCTGGACTAGGGCAGCCTGAGGGCATTGGGGGCAGTGCACCCAGAGCCAGAAGACGGGGTTCCCATCTGCCCTGTGACCGTGGACAGAGGGTAGGGGGACCCTCCCAGATGGCTGCACGGGTGACGGGTGAGGAAACCTTGCTGGCTGATCTGCTAGTCGGGGGAGGCACCTCCTAAGTCCTGGGCGCGGGCCATTTCCTCCTGAAGGGGAAGTACTGCATCCTGCCTTCCCAGGGCACCGGAGTGGCAGTGATGGAGGGGGGCTGTGAACCCTGATCCCGAGGCGGGGGCTCTTCCCACCACACACAGCACTGGGAGAAGGGCTGCTTTGTAAGCGCCTCTTTGCAGGGCTCTGCATTCCCACCAGCAATTGAGAGGCTAGTACCCGGGTCCTGGGTGGAATGACTGAACTTCCACTGCTTGCTTTCAGCTCGGGTTCCATGAGGCAGCCTCACAGTCTGAGCAGCAGGCAGGTAACACCAACTACTGCTCAGCTGTCCTTCCGCAGATCTCTGTAGAAGTCCAAGCTCCACTGTTTCCTCTTTTACCAAGTGCTACAGGGAATGTCCACCTCGAAGTCTTTCCTCACTATTTCCCAAGACACCCTTTTCTTGAGCTGAGGGGCTATTATGCTCCCTCCTTTCCAATAATCATATCACCTGAGGATATTTTCCCACTGCTTTTTTTAGAGAGAGTAGAAGAGAGAGGGAAAGATAGAGAGAAATAGTGAGGTGAGAGAAACACATTGATTGGTTGCTTCCTGCAAGCATCTCAACCGGGGAGGAGCCTGCAACCAAGGTACATGTCCTTGACTGGAATCTATCCAAAGAGCCAAACCAGCTAAAGCTCTGATAATAATAATTTAATGGATAGTTTTCCTTTTTGCTTTGTCTTCTAGGCAGAGGAAATTTTATTTTTTAATTTATCTCTAAAATTTTTTATTTATTGATTTTTAGAGAGAGTTCTACTTACTGATACAGTCATTGGTTGATTCCTATATGTGCCCTGACCAGGAATCAAACCCACAACCATGGCATATTGAGACGGTGCTCTAACCAAATAACACCCCTCTGGCCAGGGCCTTAGAGGCAATTTTAAAGATCAATAATTCTAACCTTAGGTTATAAATCAATTACTGATTATTAATAAAATATTTCAGAAGTTAGCTGTGAGGATGCTCATTTCAGCATTGGTTATATTAGAAAACAATTGGTAATGAACTAAATGCCCAATGTAAGGATTTTGTTAAATATACTTAAGTAAAGCATGCTATAAGCATGAAATAGCAGCTGATAAATATTCGAGCAAAATTCCTGGCACATAATAGGTCTTTAGTCCCACAGGACTTTTGTTTTTATTTTTAATATATTTTATTGATTTTTCACAGAGAGGAAGGGAGAGAGATAGAGAGCTAGAAACGTCGATGAGAGAGAAACATCGACCAGTTGCCTCCTGCACACCCCCTACCGGGGATGTGCCTGCAACCAAGGTACATGCCCTTATCGGAATCGAACCCGGGACCTTTCAGTCCACAGACCGACGCTCTACCACTGAGCCAAACCGGCTTCGGCTAGTCCACAGGACTTTTGGTTTCTCCTCCCATATGCTAACACAACACTGCCTTCTGCAGTTTAAAAAGTATTTTTATGTCTTAGTCTAGTTTTTTTTCTTTTCTTTTTTTTTTTTTTCTTTAAAGATAATAAAGCTGAGAACGGAGAGGTTTAGAAACTTGGGCCAGGACACAAAGCAGGTGAGTGGAGAAACCTGAGTTGGAAGCCAAGGCCTCCAGCCCCAATCATCCTCCCTGTCCTCATCAGCCCCACTCCCTCTGCAAGGCCATCCCTGACAAGCCGACTGACCGCCTCTGATGCGATTGCCACATGCACTGTAAGTCTGACACCAGACATGTCAGCACCAGCATTCCCAGGAGGGCTGCTGGGCTTTCGCCTCATTTGGAAGAGTGCTGGACTTTTGGGTCAGGAAGGGAAATATCTGGATGAAAGCAACACCCATCTGGCGGTGTGAACGTAGACCACACACCAGGAAGCAGCGATTGCAAGCCTCCGAATATCTGGACATAGCAAACAGTTAGCAAACATCTCAAACTCTGGGAGGAATGTTCTCCAAACTTCTGGATGCTTCACGGCAGCAGGGTGCTGCCTGAGCTGCTAGAGTAGGTTTCTGCCTGCTCTCTAAGTGTCTGGGCACCCCTTTGGATGCTCGTGGAGCGGGGGGGGGGGGGGGGGGGGGCGGGGGGGGGAGTGTTTCCCATTAGGGTGATAAATGCAAAGAAGGCCCCAAGAGGTCCCCTGTGGCCGCCCTTCCCCTGGCACGGACCTGGCATGTGTACCATGCGGCAGTTGCAATTTTCCACGATGTAGCGGGTCTCACAGTCGATCCTACAGGCGGTGATGCTGTAAACAGGAAAGAAGTCGAGTCCCATCTCTGAGGATCGGCACTCACCCCACGGAGGCGGCAGGTATGTAAGCTGCAAGACAGGAAGAAGGGGCAGCAGTCAACCTTGATGGGCTCAGTGCCTCATTCATTCACTTATTCAATCAACCAACAATTATTGAGCAACTAATTCATAACAATCTGGACTCCAATGACTTCAACATCTGGCTCTAACATTTGTATTCTTATCTCCTCTCTTGTGAACCTTCCCAGGAATGCGGATCTTCACAGAGCCTTTCTTTTCTTTCCTTCCTTCCTTTCCTTCCTTCCTTTCCTTTCCTTCCTTCCTTCCTTCCTTCCTTCCTTCCTTCCTTCCTTCCTTCCTTCCTTCCCCTTTTCCTTTTCCTTCCTTCCTTCCTTCCTTCCTTCCTTCCTTCCTTCCTTCCTTCCTTCCTTCCTTCCTTCCCCTTTTCCTTTTCCTTCCTTCCTTCCTTCCTTCCTTCCTTCCTTCCTTCCTTCCTTCCTTCCTTCCTTCCTTTTCCTTCCTTCCTTCCTTCCTTCCTTCCTTCCTTCCTTCCTTCCTTCCTTCCTTCCTTCCTTCCTTTCTTTCTTTCTTTCTTTCTTTCTTTCTTTCTTTCTTTCTTTCTTTCTTTCTTTCTTTCTTTCTTTCTTTCTTTCAATATATTTCTTTATTGATTTCAAAGAGGAAGGGAGAAGGAAGGAGAAATAGAAACATCAATGATGAGAATCGTTGGCCGGCTGCCTCCTGCACACCCCCCAGTAAGGATTGAGCCCGCAGCCCAGGCATGCACCTTTGGCTGGAATCGAACCCGGGACCTCCCAGTCTGCAGGCTGATGCTCTATCCACTGAGCTAAGTCGGCCAGGGCTTCACAGAGCCTTTTTCAAATGCTGCATCTTGTCACTTCCACACTTTGTCATCTCCCTTCTCTTGGAAATTCTACCCTCCACACTTGGGACCTGAGACGTAGACCTGGAGGAGGGGTTGGGATGCAATGGCCTTCGGCACACACCGTGCTGTTTATGACCCCTGGCCCTGGCTAGAGCATCTCTCCGGTGACAGCTGTGAACAACTCCACTGGGGAACGTGCCTCTTGTGCTCAGAGGCCCAATGACTGCAAACTGTTCAAACACCCATGGCACTTGCCTGGTAGGGATGGAGAGAGTGAAGGATGAAGGAACTAATGGTTGGTGAGCACTTACTGTGTGTTCCACCCCAAGACAAAAAACATTTACATCTTAAAAAACATTTTAAGAATAAAAAATACAATAAAATGCACACATTTCCAGTGCACAGTTCAACAAATTCTGAAAAATCTACACACCTTTGTACCTGCCACTTCAATCAAGAATAAGACATTGTTGCCCCGGCCAGGTAGCTTTGTGGATTAGGGCATTATTCTGATACCCCAAAGTTGTAGGTTCAATCTCTGATCAGGGCACATAGAAGAATCAACCAATGAATGCATAAATAAGTGGAACAAGAAATGGATGTTTTTCTCTCTCCTTCTCTCCTCTCTCTCTCATCAATAAATTAAAAAAGATATAGGATATTTTTAATTACCTTAGAAAGTTCCTTCCTGTCCCTTTCCAATCAGCCCCCAGGAGCATGGACCATATAACATGGGCAATCAATGTTAAGGATTCTATCACCATAAGTTGGCTTTGCCTCTTCTCAAATTTCATATAGATGAAGACTTACACTATGTGCTCTTTTGTGTCTGGCTTCTTTAGCTCAACAAAATGTCTCCCACACAAAATAAACTTAAAGAAAAAGATACTGCATGAGAGAGAGAGAGAGGGTTATTTTCACAGTGATAGGATCAACCATCAAGAGGACATGATAATTCTCAATATGCATTGCCTAATGATAAGTCTCAAAAATACATGAGGCCCTGGCCAGTGTCTTCAAGTCTGTGTTCATTTATTGTGTTCAACCCAATCTTCTGATAATCCCACCCCATGGCTTTAAATTCCAGGCCATGGCATTTTTCAGTTTCAGGTCGACTTTTTAAAGAAGTTTCCATATTTTGTCCTCCCTGATCTCTCATTATTTACATCTCTTTCTGCAATTATGTAACATGCTTATCAATGTTCTTTTAAATGTTGTGAAAAGGACATGGTTATTTTTTGTTGTGGCTATAGTGGCCACAGGTCAGTTATCTTCCACTGAACAGCATTGAATGAATCGCTCTGATTTTGTGAAGGTGTTGTTTAGGCTTTAAAAATGGGTATAATATTTTCGTTTTTCCCTTAGTCCTGGGCTATAGCCCTTAGTCTTGGAATGTGATGTTCACTCCTAAGGTCTGACACTTCTGGGGAAAGCTTGAATGGAAAGCCTGAGATGGATGCTTATCAGGTGTAACTCGATGGAACTTGAATGACAGTCTGTCTTCCCTGCCTTGGCAGCTGCTGAAATTACTGCCCAGCTCTTTCACCTGTACTCCTGGGCTTCTTGGCGTGTCACCGCTAGCCACATGAAGTCCAAGGTTCAGTCTATGTTTTTAGGGAAGTTTATAAAAACATGTTGGAGCTCCCCTCTGTGGGTCCCACCTTTCTAGGGTCTTTCTTCCCCAAACATTCAACCTTTCTGGCAATCATGAACCATGAACTCTGTCTTTTAAAAAGAATCTGTTTTTATTGATTTTTTTAGAGAGAGGGGAAGGGAGAAGGAGAGAGAAACATCGATCTGAGATACATTGATTGGCTGCCTTATGCACATCCCCTACTTAGGACCTAGCTTGCACACTGGGCTTGTGCTCTGACCGAGAATCAAACTGTGACCTCTTGTGCATGGGATGATGCTCACCACAGCAGCCATGCAGACTTTTGCCTTTTTTTTTTATTTTTAAATATATTTTATTGTTTTTTTACAGAGAGGAAGAGAGAGGGCTAGAGAGTTGCAAGCATCGATGAGAGAGAAACATCGATGAGCTGCCTCTTGCACATCCTGCACACCCCCTACTGGGGATGTGCCCACAACCAGGGTACATGCCCTTGACTGAAATCAAACCCAAACCCGGGACCTTTCAGTTCTCAGGCCGACACTCTATCCACTGAGCCAAAAACGGTTTCGGCAGTCATGTGCCTTTTTAAATACAATGACTGCTACTTTCTGCTCAAGCTCTACTCCAGTATTCCCTTAGAACTTGACCTTCTCTCCAGGAAGAAGTCAGATAAATAAATGTGTATTTCACCCAGTGCAGGGGCCCTAGCCTCAAGGGCTGCATACCTTCCAGGTCCTGCCTGCGTTAGTCCCATCAAATAGCATTTTAAACTATTTTGTCCAAAGTTTATCATCCCTATTTCCAGGAGAGTTAGTCTGCTATAAGCTATTCCACCATTACTGAGAGCCATGCCTCCACACTCATCTAACATTCACAGGACTCCTTTGAGGGAGATGTTCCTGTGCTCATTGTATTAATGAGGCACCTGAGTACCAGAAAGGTTAAGCAGCCTATTCAAGATCACACACCTTGTCAGTGGCAGAGCCAGCATCCTGGGGATTTCTGACTCCAGCCTTGCACCTGTCATACGATGCTACACTGTCTCTCCAGGAGATCGGCAGGAGAGAGGGAGAAACACACCAGGGACGCCTTTCAGAACATTCCTTTTTTGTTTTGACCTAATGGCTTCTTCTTCTTTTTTTGTTGTTGTTTTGTTTTAAATGCAGGTTTGCTTTACTATCTCATCTTTCTTTGGAGTGCATAAGTTGATCAGTCTTTGCATAGATTTCCTGTAAGACTTTAGATAATTCTCTCCTCTGAATCTTAGTTTTCCCACCTGTAAAGGAAGGATTTAAGGATAGATTTTCCAGGATTAGAATGCATTAGGTCTCCTGCACCGCTCAATATTGGATCCATAAACACAATAATTGGATTTGGGAAGGACCAACAGTGACTTTTGGCAAAGCTGGGTGTGTGTGTCTCTAAAATGATGACTATTGACATGGAGGTGGGGGGGCTACTCATTTGTGACGGGCTGGCACGGCCATGGCATACTCAGCCCCCAGGGAACCTTATGTGCTGCACCAGCTCAGCCAGGTTCAGTGACCCTGAGTGGAGTAAGTGAAGGATTGAGAAAAGACAGACAAGAGAAGAAAGCTGGGTCTTGGTGGGACGCTATCCTCTCTAATGGAGACAATACCAAGGACTACAAGCCGTGTCTTTATTGTATAGCGGATGCCACAAGGCAAAGTAAGCACGTGGTCAAGATGTTTACAACATTCTTGCGTGTTTCGATCCCAGTCAATTACATGCACCTGAACTCTATCAAGCCCACATCACCCAGGCACGTGGGGCCACGTGTTTGGACCATAGGTTCAAGCTTACACAACTACAGCTATTGGCTCTAATTGTGCTGGGAGGGCTCTGCCCTCCAGGCTGGGACTTGCACGTGGCCATGAGAGGACTGCCCTCTGTGTCAGAGGACTGAACCTGTCCAAACACTGTAGCTGCTCTCCACACTCATTTCTTTTTCTTCTACTAAAACAGGTTCCCACAGTGGGTGGACCACGCATGGAGCTGGTGAGACTCTAATGATGAACCAAGGTTCATTCAGGATCAACCATTTCCCTTTCTGTGACAAAGGTCATGATTCAGAGCCCACGACCACCCTGCTATGGCTGGCTTGTCACTTGTCCCATCAGCTTTTCTGAAGCTTCACACACCACAGCGGTTGGGAAATCGCAGCGTGTACAGTATCGACTCTTGCTTGCCAGTGAGTGTCTGAAAGTAGGTTGGAGTATTTGTTTATCCGGGACTAGCAATGCTTCTGGTGGACCCCGAAGCACTGTCTTCAAATATCTGAAGAGCTGTCTCAGGATTTGTTTCTGGGCATCCCAAGGGAAAGACAGACTCAGGAATCGTTGTAATAAGGGAAGTAGGGAGCATGATAGCATTTACTGACCTCATTTAATCTTAAAGAAGGAGCAATTCCTGCTCAACTTTCTAACCTCCCAAGTGATTCTCTAATAAAAGCATCGTCTTGAGAGTAAGTTCCCCATCGTGAGGGGTGTTGAAGCAGAATCTACCCAACTACTTGGCTGGATGGGAAGAGAGAGAGTCAAGCATTGA